TTTAACTGAAAATTTGGCTCCTTTTAAATTTAAAAAAAATGGAAAAAAATGCAAGATGGCGGGAAGCAAGGGGCTCTGTCTAATACAAAGGACACACCCAGGAAAAAAGCTGCTAGTCCTTGAACTTGCATATCTGCTACTGCATAAACAGGGTAAAATCTCAGCTGTTCTAGAACAGTTACAAGCAAAATCAGATTAGCTGTACTTTTAGTCTTCATGGTACCTAATGATCTTGCCTTCTAATTTCAGTAAAATAACCTTTCTTTCATATATTAAAAAAGAAAAATCCCAAGAAGCTTCCAGGGATTGGATGTTGAATGATTGACTTTGGACAATGAATCAGGTTTGCTGAATCAATGTCTTCATTGTCTTAGCAATGGAAAATTGGACAATTCATCCAAAGCAGACTGAATGGTATCCTTGGTGGTCATTTACTCGGGTAACAAGGAAGAAGTCATTCTGTGGTTGATAAGCTGATTGAACCTTGGACTAGAGCTGCTAGAAACTACATTTCCTACCAGCACAGAATTTTCCTGAGAATAAAGCTGATACAGTAGAAAACATAATTGGAATTTGAAGAGGAAAGCAGTATCTGAGATCCCAACACAATTTCTAAACCCTGGTTCATGCCACTTCTGAATAACAATCTCCACATATTTATTGCCAGAATCCATATCTTTTCTGGGCTTAATTTAGTTCCTGGTGGGGTTTGCCTTACTTGCAAACAATGTCTATTAGAGAAGACTCAGAGAAAAAGAAGAAGAAAGAAGATAGGAACAAAGAGGATACCACTACAAGAAAGAAACAAAGGATACTCCAGGAAGGATGTATTTGTTAGTGTACTTACTTATGCAACAACTATAAATTCCTTTCCTGTGCATTAAAATGTATAAGATGCTAAATGTCTAATACACCAAAGCATGAGACATACCCCTGTCTTCATCAATACATAGTCATGGCAGCGACAATCATAAAAAAAATCTCTTTAAGTATCATATTCACACAAGGAGTATGAAGGAAACAAACAGGATGCTGAGAATGGGAAATATGGGTAGGCTTTCTCTGAGGTGGTATTTATACTCCAGCTAAAGGACATGAAGGAACTGTCCATGCAAAAACTAGGGTAAAGAGAGGGAATACTTATATGAATGTGTGTGGTGGTAGTATGCAAATGTTTATATCAAACGAGATGCAAAGGATTTTACTGCAGTTGAAATAATTTTATGTTATAAAACTTGTGGGGTACTTTAAAATACAGGCTATATTTTGTTTTCCAGAACCCTGAGCAATTTATTTCAGCCTGTTGAATTTTTATTGGCTGCATTAAAATTTCTGCAGCTTTGGCTAACCTACTGTTGACACACTTCAGTAGGTCCTTTTGTTTTTGAGGTGTGGGTAGTGTGGTGGGCTCCAATAGTCCAAGTCCGGAAGGATAACTTTCAGAGAGAAAACTGTATTTGTAAATTTTAAATAGCTGTAATAGCTACATCTCATTTGGTATCTTTGATTCATTCCAGGCAAGTTTTGGTTAAGTGGTTCACTTAGACCTTTCACATTTAAATAATTTCTCCAGGGCACTGGAATTCTGTTCAATTTATTGCTGACAGCATCATTTGTGATCAGGAGCAGTGGCTGTAGAAATTACTCCATGGTGGAGGGGAGAAGGGAGGGAGAAAGAGAGACAGAGAGAGAGCAGGGCGGGGGGGGGGAGAGAGGAGAGGAAGGGAGGAAGAAGAAGAGCACACTTCATACATTTGAGGTACATCCTTGGGCAAACTTCTCCCAACATTTTCTCTCTTAACCTGTTTCTGCAAAGTCAGCAAGTAAATTCCTGCCTTGGAATCATTTTGGAAGATGTTTAGGTCTTGACATCTGCTGAGTCATAACATCAAAATGGTCTTCCCATGATGATTGTAAGATAAATCAGATAGACTCTTTGGTAGTGATATTGATTCTGCATTAATTTTTCAATTCACTGTATATCATAGCAATTTTTATAAAGCACATGAGTCTGTATTTCTTCCAGAAGAATGAGGTAGAACTGTATGCTTGTCTAGAGATGAATATGGTACTGATAAATCTGTTATATGTAAATTACAACTTCAATGTATATAATTTTGTGGTGGTTAGTTAGCTTTATTTTACTTTGCTTTGATTCTGTTTTTACTATGCTAAATTTTTTTTTATTTTTTGAATCACAATATATCACACATTACTGAAAATCTGGAATTCAGTTGATTCTCTAAGTTAGTTATGTATATGAGAATGAAAGAGTATCTTTTAGCTGTTGTGTCTAACACACTAATGTTTTTGCCAAGTATCTACAATCACAGAGGAGTGAAACCCAGAGTTCTATTATAAATTCAACATTCATTAAAGCGATAAAAAAGGCAAGACTAGAGGACTTGCTTGCTTCCAACAAGTAAATTACCTCTTAATATGATGGAAATATCTCTTTTAAGCTCTAACATTTAATATTACAGACTTTCAACTAGGTTCTTTGAACAAGGGGATCCACCTAATGAGTTTATCCTATTTTTTTTCATCTCTATGTTATTGTGATAAATGAAGCAATACACTAATTTGGAATAAAATTTGGAAATAAATGAAATACAAACAGTAACATATTACTAGTATATAGAAAGTCAGAAGAGATTATCCCTCTTTTGATAAAAACAAAAACAAGCTAAATAAACTATAAAATTATAGTTTCTCTGAGCCTATTAGAGTTCTAGATGCAAATAAACCATTATCTAAACTGTAGAAAGCAATGAGTCTTTTATAATAGGGAATCTAGACACATCTTTGGCAGAATGATCAGAGAATGGAGAATTTGTGGTTAATAGGATTAGGAAGAAACAAGCTAAAGTATTGAAATTGCTTAATGACTTTTAAGAGCTACATCCTGGCTTGTGCAACAAATTACAATTCCAAGGAGCCCCAGATACTGAACAAGTTTGCAGTCACTCACCAGCTGTCTCATGGACCTTCACCAGTTGTGGTGGCAGAAGGACAAAGGCAGAACTGAGAGCTCATAAAGATCTCTTATTTCCTGTGGTCTCTCACAACTACCAGGAAACTGAATGTGGATACAGAGGATAGTGGTGGTAATAAAGCCAAAACAAGCTGTGATTCACTTGAAAAGGGCTGGAAACAAAGCAGAGATTGCAAATTAGGTGGAGGCCTTTCTCCTAGGTGTGAAAAAACTGAAGCAAGTTTGGAGATCAAATGATGCCCTCCAGAAACTAAAAAAAAAAAGCCTTTGTGTTGGTAGAAAGCAAAGAGAAGAATCACAATATTTGGAAAGCTTTTAGTTCATTTATAAAATATATACCTCCAGAATCTCACAGGTTTTTAGATTCTAAGCCATACAGAACAGAGGGACTTCAGCTCAGTGTCTAAACAGGTGAAACCAGCAATGAAGTAATACAAAGAAAGCCACAAAACTCAGGCTAGTTTGATACAGATGAAATGGCCCCCAATTATAACTGCCTATCACTTAAAGGTGTATTCCCTTTTATAAATATAGATACAATTCTTTGGTTCTTTTATACAGATGATCAATGTACAATATGAAATTTACAGAAGAGAGAGAATGGGAGTCATCATCAAGAGATGAAATAGGTAATAGAAGTAGATGTAGAGATGGCTCAAATATTCTAATTATCATTCAGGAACTTTAAAACACTGTGATAAAAAGGTAAATGATCTAATTGAAAATGTGGATGACATGTATAAATACATAGATATTCTTAGAAGCAGCAGAGAAACTTAAAATTTAAAATGAGAATATTAAAAATGAAAATTATCTAAAATAAAAAAAAATCATTAGATGAGTTTGATAGATTAGACTAAGTATATAAAACAGAATTTGAACACACAACAGTAGAATATAAAAGGAAAACATAAAGAGAAAGAAAGGTATAAACAGAAGGTCTAAGATCCATAGATCAAATCATCTAGCATGAGTACAAGTGAGTTCATAGATGGAAAGTGAAAACAGTTAAGACAATAGCTATGCTAAATTCTCAATTTATTATTTTGAACAAAATAAGTCACATACATGAGCGCGCACACACACACACACACACACACATACAATGGAATTTTATTCAAACCTAAAGAAGAATATTATTGCCCTTAAGTCCCACTTCTGTGACTGTTTT